CCCTCCCTCCCTCCCTCCCTCCCTCCCTCCCTCCCTCCCTCCCTCCCTCCCTCCCTTCCTTGTCATCTATTCCTTGAGGTCCTTTGAGCTAGAACCAGCTCTGGTCCCAGTCGTGTTGGTTCACTGAGATTGATTCTGGATACATTCCCCTTGTTTACGAACCTGTGATTGCTTTTGTTGGTATCTGTGTACGCCCTTGAGACCCTTCACGCCTGCATTTCCCTTCATTCCATTGTCAACACGACCCATGAAGGGAAAAGGGGGGAAAACTTGGTGGTAAAGGAGGTTCCTGTCCTTCATCCCTTCTCTTTTACTTCTTCTTTCTTGACCAGGGAAACGAGCATTCAGTGGAGCCACATCTAACAAATAAACATCACTCTCAACATGGGGAAGAAACTCTATAAATGTTCTGAATGTGGAAAGAGCTTTCGTTACCAGTCCTTACTCCAGCGACATGAAAGAACTCACACTGGGGAGAAACCCTACACATGCTTGGAATGTGCAAAGAGCTTTTCTTGCAGTACAAAGCTGCGTTTACATCAAAGGATCCACACTGGGGAGAAACCCTATAGATGCTTGGAGTGTGGAAAGAGCTTTGCGTACAGTGGAAGTCTGTGTTCACATCAGAAAACTCACAGTAGGGAGAAACCCTATACATGCTTGGAGTGTGGGCAGACCTTTGCTTGGAGTGAAAGTCTACGTGCACATCAGAGGATCCACACTGGGGGAAAACCCTATACATGTGTGGAGTGTGGAAAGAACTTCACTTGCAGTGGAAGTCTACGTTTACACCAACGGACTCACAATGGGGAGAAACCGTATACATGCCTGGAGTGTGGAAAAAGCTTTTCGTTGCGTGGAAATTTGCGCACACACCAGAAAACTCACACTGGGGAGAAACCTTATGCATGCTTGGAGTGTGGAAAGAGCTTTCTGTACAGTGGAAATCTGCGTACACATCAGAGAACTCACACTAGGGAGAGACCCTATACATGCACAGAGTGTGGAAAGAGCTTCACTCAGAGTGGGAGTTTACGTCTACATCAACGGACCCACAGTGGAGAGAAACCCTATGCATGCTTGGAGTGTGGAAAACGTTTTACTCAGAGTAGGAATCTGCATTCACATCAAAAAACTCACACTGGGGAAAAACCCTATACATGTCAGGAGTGTGGGAAAAGCTTCTCTGAGAAATACAATTTACGTTCACATCAAAAAACTCACACTGGAGAGAAACCCTATCAGTGCACCGAGTGTGGTAAGAGCTTCAGTCAGAGTGCAAATCTGCTTTTACACCAAAGGATCCACACTGGGGAGAAGCGCTACAAATGTCTGGAGTGTGGAAAGAGTTTTGGGCAGAGTGGGACCCTCCGTAAACATCAAACAACCCACACTGGGGAGAAACACTATAAATGCCTGGAGTGTGGAAGGAGCTTTTCTTTTAGTGCAGTTCTGCGTTCACATCAAAAGACTCACACTGGGGAGAAACCATATAAATGCGTGGAGTGTGGAAAGAGCTTTGCGCAGAGTGGGACCCTACGTAATCATCAAAGACTTCACACTGGAGAGAAACGCTATCAGTGCTTAGAGTGTGGAAAGAGCTTCAATCACAGTATAGGTTTACGCTTACATCAGAGGAATCACACTGGGGAGAAACCCTATACATGTGCTGAATGTGGAAAGAGCTTTAGTCGAAAGAGCTCTCTGCGATATCATGAGAAAAGTCACACTGAGGAAAAACCCTATACATGCCTGGAGTGTGGAAAGAGCTTTGCTCAGAAGGGGGCCCTGACTGCACATCAAATCATTCACACTGGGGAGAAGCCCTATATATGCTTGGAGTGTGGAAGGGGCTTCTATAATAATGGAAATCTGCGTAAACATCAAAGGACTCACACTGGAGAGAAACCCTATCAATGCCTGGAGTGTGGAAAGAGCTATACCGAGAATGGGAGCCTACAAACCCATTTACGATCTCACACTGGGGAGAAACCCTACACATGCCTGGAGTGTGGAAAGAGCTTTGTGCTGCATGCAAGGCTTCAGGAGCATCAAAGAACTCACACTGGGGAGAAGCCCTACAAATGCCTAGAGTGTGGCAAGAGCTTCCTTCGGAGTGGACAGTTACGTAAACATCAAAGGGCTCACACTGGGGAGAAGCTTGCCTATACTTGCCTGGAGTGTGGAAAGAGCTATACTGAGAATGGGAGCCTACGTAGACATCAAAGAACCCACACTGCAGAGTGTGGAAAGAGCTTCACTCAGAGTGGGAGTTTACATCTACATGAACAGACTCACCTTGGGGAGAAACCATAAACAGGCAGTCCTAGGGTGGAAACAGGATCCGTTCGATGGATTTGCTCTTCAGTTGATTTTGTATGTAAGTCAGAACAGATCCATTTTAAAGTATAGTTTTAGCCATTATGGAAGTTTTGTTAGTGTATACTGAAGGGTTAACACCCCTGCAACGTTCCCTTTGCTGTCTGTGCTCTTGTTCAGGAGATTCCCCCTCACTTTGTGGCTTTGTGAGAATTGGATTTTGACCCAAGAGGTGGGAGGATGTGCAGGAAATGGCTTGGGAACACAAGGGAGCCAAAAAGAGGAACCAAAGAGTGTTTGAGAACAGAATAGAGACACAGGCAAGAAGCTGAGAAAGGGGAAATTACAGGCAGAAGGGGGAAAGAAGGTTTGATGTCATGGGTGTGTTTGCATCAATTGAGACTACAAAACCCATGATCCAGAGACAGTCAAACATGGCACTCGCTTGACTTGATTGGAAACACGCCTTAGTTACTCTGCAAGCTTAAAGATTGTAATTTCTCGATTCCTCATCTGAATTGGAAAGTGAAAAGAACTAGGCATGTCAGGGGCACAGAGCACCAACACCTGGGAGTCCTGCTTGGTGCAATGACCGTGGGTGAGTGAGTAGGTGGTGTCATGTTGCCTTGGCTCTGCCTTATTTAGGTAAAGATGAATCAAACTCCCAGTTTTATCAACAGTTTAATTAAAACAGCACTTATTTTCCTGGCTGTTTTAATAGACCAAAATATAAAACACAAAGATAGCATTCAGCTACAGAATAAACAAAAACCGATTGCAAAAATAACTTCGTAGTCAAAAGGGTCCAGTCCAGTGGTCAAATGCCGAAAGTTCAATAACAGAGTCCAGGGATCAAGAGCCTATACCGTAGTCAAAAGCCAGTCCAAAGGTTCAAGGTTCCACGATTACAGGAGACACGTCGGGATACCAAAAACCCAACAGACCTGGGGGGAAAACCAGCAGCATCCACTACCAAAATACAACAGATACTTTTCTCCCAAAGTTCAGTCTCAAGCAGTGGTTCTCAACCTGGGGTCCCCAGATGTTTTTGGCCTACAACTTCCAGAAATCCCAGCCAGTTTAGCAGCTGTTAGGATTTCTGGGAGTTGAAGGCCAAAAACATTTGGGGGACCCCAGGTTGAGAACCACTGGTCTCAAGGTTAGCTCCTGAAATCCAGTAACACCCAGTTGCAACCCATCTCCTGCATACCTCCACCCTTAATTGCTTTCACCCATGAACTCCCACTTACAGATTACTAAACCCTCTAGAGCAGTGGTTCTCAACCTGGGGTCCCCAGATGTTTTTGGCCTTCAACTCCCAGAAATCCTAACAGCTGGCAAACTGGCTGGGATTTCTGGGAGTTGTAGGCCAAAACACCTGGGGACCCACAGGTTGAGAACTACTGCTCTAGAACTAATACTCACATTAACCCTTCCATCACCATCACCATCAGCTGCAGAACATATGACAGGTGGATAGTTGGGGGGCCATGACCCTGCCTTCTGAAGCGATGCAGTGACTAACGTGGGGCTCCCTGTTTTTGTGTGCCTCCCTTCTCTCACTGTGTCGCATGCAGGGCATAATCCGTGTGCCAGTGCCCATGATAGTGCTGGTTTTGACCTACAAAACCCTATACGGTTCCGGCCCAGTGTATTTGTCCAAACGGATCTCCCTCTACATCCCATCTCGAAGCTTAAGTTCATCTGGGGAGGCCCTGCTCTCGACTCCGCCACTATCACAAGTGAGGTTGGCAGGGACGAGGAGCAGGGCCTTCTCAGTGGTGGCCCCTCACCTGTGGAACTCACTCCCCGGGGAGATAAGATCAGCGACTTCCCTCTTGACGTTTAGGAAAAAATTGAAGACCTGGATCTGGGACCAAGCCTTTGGTCATTCTGGTAACTAAAGGATCTGATGATAAATAAGGACAGATGGAATGGAATGGATATACGGACTCTGAACACTGAGCATGAGATTGTTTGCTATTTTTTACTATGTACTGATGTTTTAATTTGTTAACTGCTGAACTGCTTTTTGTATTGTTTGTGAATTGATTCAGGCATCGAATTGTGCCTTCGTCTGTAAGCCGCCCTGAGTCCCCTTTGGGGTGAGAAGGGCGGGGTAAAAGTAATTGAAATAAAAGAATAGGCCCATAAGATGGCCGCCTTAATATGCCCGTCAGCTGGGCTCCTGTTTGAGCCCCTGGCCTTTGTCCTGTGGGGTTCCTCAGGGGTCTGTTCCATCCCCCATGTTCTTTAGCATCTCTCTGAAGCTGCTGGGTGTTTTGGAGTTTTGGAGAGCGTTGTCACCCCTACGCAGATGACGCCCAGCTCTACTCCTCCTTTCCACCTGATGCCAAGGAGCTGTTCTGACCCTGAACCAGAGCCTGATGGCGGTAATGGGCTGCATGAGAGCGAACAAACTGGAACTCAGTCCTGACAAGACAGAGGTGCTCCTGGTCAGTCGGAAGGCCGATCGAGCTCCAGAGTTGCAGCCTGTGTTGGATGGGGTCACATTTCCCCTGAAGGTGCAGGTCTGCAACTTGGGGGTCATCCTGGAATTGTAACAGCTTAGCCTACCTTACAAGATTGGTGTAATAATAATAATAAACCTTATTTACTCCCCGGCACCATCTCCCCATGGGGACCCGAGGCAGCTTACATGAGGCCAAGCCCAGTAGTACAATAAAACAATATACAACAACAACAGCAGAAAATTAAAAAGTAAAAAAATGCAAAGCCAATATAAATAGACACATCAAACAATATAAAACAATATAAAATCAGAACATTTAGACACAGAAAATTTTTGACAGTGGGCTGGGTCAGTTGCAAAGAGTTTAAATTGAAAAATATTTAAAACACTGGGTGAGAGGGCAATGTAAGGTGTCGGGACAGGGGATCCGGAGGACAAAATAGGGTTTGATTGAAAAAGACCTTGGAGTCCTCGTGGACAAAAAGTTAAACATGAGCCAGGAATGTGATGTGGCGGCAAAAAAAGCCAATGGGATTTTGGCTTGCATCAAGAGGAGCCTAGTGTCTAGATCTAGGGAAGTCATGCTCCCCATGCTCTATTCCGCCTTGGTTAGACCACGTTACCTGGAATATTGTGTCCAATTCTGGGCACCACAGCTGAAGAGAGATATTGACTCTAAGCTGGAATGTGTCCAGAGGAGGGCGACTCAAATGATCAAGGGTCTGGAGAACAAGCCCTATGAGCTTGTTTTCTGCTTCCCTGGAGACTAGGACGCAATGGAACAATGGCTTCAAACTACAAGAGAGGAGATTCCATCTGAACACGAGGAAGAACTTCCTAACTGTGAGAGCCGTTCAGCAGTGGAACTCTCTGCCCTGGAGTGTGGAGCAGGCTCCTTCTTTGGAAGCATTTAATCAGAGGCTGGGTGACCATCTGTCAGGGGTGCTTTGAATGCAATATTCCTGCTTCTTGGCAGAATGGGGTTGG